ACTAACTAACAAACTAACTAACCGCCTTGCCCCTCCCCCCCGCCTCCGGCCTCCGCGCGTCAGGTACCCCCGCGCGTCAGGTACTCTTTGAGTGAGGTTACAGGAAGTCCGCGGCAATCCCGCGCATCAGGCACCGTACCGCGAAACTCGATCCCGCGCGTGACCCACGCACCTGCTCTCAAGATCCCGCGCGTCAGGTACCTCCCTCCTCCCGCGCGTCAGGCGCCCCCTTTCCGCGCGTCAGATCCCGCGAGTCTCGATCCCGCACGTGACGTCCTTTTTCTTTAGCCCGCGCAGCAGCTAACCAACCAAGTAAGCTACCAAGCTACCTAACTATCTGCGTCCCTAACTACCTATCTAACTTCTTAATCAAGGCTATAACTAACAGACTAGCTAACCAACCAACCAACCAACCAACTAACTAACTAACTAACTAACTAACTAACTAACTAACCGCCTTACCCCTCCCCCCCCGCCTCCGGCATCCGCGCGTCAGGTACCCCCGCGCGTCAGGTACTCTTTGAGTGAGGCTACAGGAAGTCCGCGGCGATCCCGCGCATCAGGCACCGTACCGCGAAGCTCGATCCCGCACGTGACATACGCAGCTGCTCTCGAGATCCCGCGCGTCAGGTAACTCCCTCCTCCTGCGCGTCAGGCACCCCCTTTCCGCGCGTCAGATCCCGCGAGTCTCGATCCCGCACGTGACGTCCTTTTTCTTTAGCCCGCGCGGCAGCTAAACAACCAAATAAGCTGCCAAGCTACCTAACTAACTGCGTCCCTAACTAACTAACTAACTAACTAACTATCTAACTAACTAATCAGTTCTATAACTAACTAACTACCTTACTACCTACCTAACTGGCAAACTAATTAACCAACTAACTAACTAACTCCCTAACCGCCTTACCCTTCCCCCCCGCCCCCCCCGGCCTCCGGCCTCCGCGCGTCAGGTACCCCCGCGCGTCAGGTACTCTTTGATGAGGTTACAGGAAGTCCGCGGCGATCCGCATCAAGCACCGCACCGCGAAACCCGCCCGTAACACATTTTTCTCAGCCCGTGCAGCAGCTCACCAACCAAGTAAGCTACCAAGCTACCTAACTAACTCCGTCATTATCTGAACCAATTGGCTAACTCACTAACTAGCTAACTATCTAACTAGCTAACTAACTCACTAACTAACTAACTAACTATCCGCCATGCCCCTCCCCCCCCCCCCCCCCCCCCCGCCTCCGGCCTCCGCGCGTCAGGTACCCCCGCGCGTCAGGTACTGTTTGAAGGAGGTTACAGGTTAGCTGGGGTACAGCCTGCCCAGCCGATGCGCCACAGGTTGATTTGGACGGAGGCGCAACCAGAGAGGGAGAAAGAGAGAGAGAGAGAGAGAGAGAGAGAGAGAGGGGGGGAGAGAGAGAAACAAAATAAGAGGCGTGCTCGAGAAAGGGAAATCCAGCTCGTGACTCGTCGATTGCTTGATGCATTGCTCACTTCGAAGCCGTTTTGACTTTTGGTTTGGTGCCTTGCTGATTCTCTGTTACACTTCCTATGCCAAAACGACTGATTGGACTCATGGTTTGCATGTGTTCAAACTGGGGATTTGAGCCCCATGTCTTGAAACCAGGAGAGACACTGCCGAAGCTCCAAAGCACCAAACGACAGCAGGCGGCCGCACCGAGTCTCTAGCCTCGTCCCAGGCCGGCCGGGCAAAGACAACTTCTAAACAGCTCACCAATTGTCTGGGAGTTCGTCTAATTTGGATGTATGCAGACAGAGGTGTTTGCGTGTCTTTGCCCTTTGTATTTCCGTGTTTGGTGGACCTGAGCTGTAGTCCGGAGGTGGAATCCCGGCTTTATCGTAGGGCTTACTCTCTTACCAACAAACCTGGCGCACTTTCGCCTCCCTTGGACGACTTGGGCTCCACAATTGCCCTCAGTTTGTGCAAGCAAGCTTTGTCACTGCGTGGCGGCATGACGTTCATGTCTTGCAGTTTGGTGCCCAAGCTCGGCATCGTGCCAGCATGGAGCACCAGCAGGCGGACACTTGTCTTGACAAAGTCCGGCAAGCAGTGGACGCAATCCAAAGAGAGATCAGATCCACTGTCCCATCGAGGTTGCTGAGCATGCAGCAAAGTGAATGGGATATGGCGCATGTCAAGCATTTGAAAGGTGTGGTCCTTGAGGCAACGCAGCAACTAGGGTCAGCCCTCCCCAACATCTACATTATCAGGTTTGAAAAATTCAAGAACCCTCATACACCAGACGTAGAAAGCTATGCATCTAAGCATTTCTCTGAGTGGAACAAGGACGTGTTCTTCAGAAGGCATCTCTCGTGCAGCGGTAAAGGTGCAGAAGGCCAATACGAGTTTCAGGCCATCGAAGAGTACGTCAAAAACAAAAACGCTGCTGCAGCAGCAAAATCCAAAGATGGGCAAAAGCCTTACAAGGTCCAAGACATGTGCCTGCAGCGGTCGAAGTGCTATGGGTCATTGTACTTAAAGACCTGCTGCTGGATCATGCCGGGCGTGGATGTGAAGTACAAGAAGTTCGTTGAGGCAGTTGTGTGGTTGAAAAGTCCAGCTGAAGGACAGTTTAAGCAGCTGGGCTATGACTGTATCATCACTTCACAGCTCTTGGAGGCGCTGGCAGCCAGCGACTCAGAGTTCAAGAAGCTTGAGCTTAGCCGTTGCAAGCCCAAGGTCCAGAAATTGTTTCCGCCGTACCCGCAGACTCTGCCGGGACAGAGGTTAGGGCCCCCACAGTCAGGTTATCGGGATGAATGGCTTGATCATTGGCAACACCTAGCCTTTCAGGCCAGGCAGCAGGCGGAGTATGCCCGGCTGGCGGCGGCCTCCGCTTGTTCTGTGGCCGAGCAACTGGCGGGGGAGCTGCGTAGCCAAGCGTCGCAGATCCACCAGCAGGACCGGCAGTGGGCCGACCCCTGGTTTGCCGGCTGGAACGCCGGCTGGGCGGAAGGCTGGAACGCCGCCCAGCAAGCTCTGGCAGCCCAGGCAGCCCTGGCGGCGCAGGCGGCCCAGGAAGCCCAGGAAGCGCAGGAAGCGCAGGAAGCGCAGGAAGCGCAGGGCCCTTGGGACTGCGAGCTTTGGCTGGACAGCCCAGAGGCACAGGCCCCACAGGCAGAACAGGCAGAGCAGGCAGAGCAGGCAGAGCAGGCAGAGCAGGCAGAGCAGGCGGAGGCCAGGACCGTCAAACTGATCTTTGAATTGGATGGACATCCGGCAGTGGAAGTGGAATGCGTGGCATCTTGGCCGGAGATCGAGCAGCAGGTGAAACAATTCGCTCCTGGCAAGCACTTCGAGGACTTGATGCTGACAGCGCGTGACATGACGAGTCCCTTGAATGAGATGAGTTGGGACGCCGTGGAGGGCGAAGCCAAGCTAGTGGTGCAGGGATAGGGCTCACTGCAGAGCATATGGAAACCCGGACTTCATAGTTTCGTCGCGTTTTCCAGTATGGCCATGGGTCAAAACCAATGGTACCATTTTGGGATAGGTGCACCATTCATTTTAGAACCCATTTCAGTGGGGATATGTTCACTGGGGGATAACCGGGGTTATGACCCATGTCCGTATCACACCGTGTTGAACACGGTGTAACACCTGCACCGACTGGACGATAGTCCTCGTGGCTTGGAAGGCGGAGCAAGCGAGCAGCGGTAGATTTGGCTGTCGTTAAACGGGATCCCATTTTGGTTGGTAGGTGAATTCACCACCCATTTTAGAACCTATTTTAGTGGGGATTGGGTGGGGGCTAACCGATTTTGGATTTTGACCCAGACTAAAGGCAGCCTCCGCTGACCAGGTCAGTGTTTCTGCCCAACAAGAATGCGTGGGGCCGAGAGTGTTCAGCCGCCGTACACTTGTCGTCCAAGTTGTTTTTGAACCCATTGCCTGCACAGGAAGCTGGAAGTTCGTCTAAGCACAGACGCCATGCAATGGGCATAGCTTGATCGGGGTTGTGAAATGCTACCCTCAGGACTCTTGGACTTGTCAGGCGAAAGGCGGAGTAGGCGCGTTGCCGAGCGCGAGAGGGTGAGGGGGAACAGTTGAACATGTCAGCTGATGTCTCGGTCGCAAGACATGTGCCCGAGGCTGCAGCAGATTCCTTTTCCGCGTATCCGGTCCTGGACGACTCCGTGCTACGTCGTCAAATGTGAAGCTCCGGGAGTGTTCCGGGGTTCCGAGGCATGGCTTCGTTGGCTTCGTCGGATTCTTGCTTTCCAGGGAGCTTTTTTTTCTTTTTCTGTTCCTCAAGGCATTGCAATTGTTCAACACATGCAGTCTATCTGGGCGAATTCTATCCTGTTGCGTTTGTGAAGCTTAGATGCCTCCCCTGAGGAATCCGAACACTGGCTCACCTGCCTGCGTGACGCCTTCGTCCCCGTCAAGAGACCAAGGAGATCTTAGTGGTCACTGAGCTGCCCGACCGGTTTGACAAGACGACTGGCGGACTTCCTTTTGCGAAGTGCCGAACGTGGGCCAGCAGAGGATTGACAGCTCTCCAGCTCAAGGCCGTGGTCAGGGAAACCATCTAGCAGGGATACAGGGGGAACCAGGGATACGGGAGGATTCCCCCTAAATGCACCTTGACTAAGTTTGATATGGGAAATGGCGCCAAGGGAATCCCCCCCTATCCCCGCTCCCTCCGTATCCCCACTTGTTCGTTTGTCCAACTGTGGCTCTTACTTTCAACTTGGATCACTGTGGAAGATTTTTGACGAGGCACTGACGGAGGCGCTGAGCCCAGAACCGAAGCCGAGCTCGGGACTGAAGCGAGGAGTGAGAGAGCTGCGCAGGCTGAGATGTGACAAGCGAAGACAGAAATAAAGCATTCCTCCAAGTCGGAGGCAGACATTCATCCACGAGCTCCAGCAACACACAAATCGGGACTTGCTTCTGTTTTTTCTCTTTTTGAGTTAGATGGTCGGAGTTGTTCCCCAAGTGCCTTGTTGGCGGGGAGGTCATGTGAGATTATCACAGGGTCGTGGGAAGGGGAATTCTCAACGTAACTGACTTTCCCCAAGACTTGTTCGGACTGTCCGGATGCGAACTGACCATCAATCTGCTCGCAAACTAATCAAAGCAAAGAGATCTGAATGTTGAATTTTGAACATAGCATGACAAGAAGGCATCCCTCTCACATCACAAAATCTTCGGAGACTTGGAGCCCACGTTAACAGGCTGCGGCTGAAGATGCAATCCTTGGGGTTTCGCGATTGAAACTCCGGGGCTTGTCAAGTAGTTGAAGGAAGGGGTGAAAAGCTGTCTGTCATTTCTACCATAGGTCAGGGTTCATGTTTGCCATATTGAAAAAAATGACATGAATCTACAGCGAGCTTCCTTCTGGGGTGATGTCACGGGAACTTAGGGAGCTCAGACTGACTCGGCTGATTTTCGGTCCCGCACCGCGGAGTTTCAAGCCACCCAAGTGCGAAGCATGGCTTCCAATGCCGTGGCTTCGTGCCGGAGCTTCTTATCACGTGGGCGTCTCCTGGCTCCAATGAAGATGGAGCCTCCGTGAATGGCTGAAATGACGGAGGCCGGGGGGAAGTTTCGGGCGCTTGCCACGGCGTCTGGCAATGGAAGCAAGTATTCCTAGTGAACAACTTGGACGGATACTTGTTTGACAGCTTCACGGCTTGGTGCTTGGCGATGCCCACACGCTCAAAAGACATCCATTTAAAGCCAACGCCAGAGATTCCCAAAAAGCACAAGGGGTGGTAGTTCGGCCGCCCCAGCTAAAGTTTGGGCTGGCCAAGTTTCCCTTACACACCCCTGGGTGTGTCCTTTTTTTCCGGATATCTGTGGGGTGGTTTTCAAGGGAAACTAAAAGGAAACTAACCATGTTTGGCGTCCCTATTTTAAGACCCTCCGCCACATCGAAGCAGGCGACGCCTTCCACAGGAGGCGGGGCCCGGGCCAAGTCTTGTGCTTGGGGGATGTTAGACTTGGTGAAGATTTCCTGTCTATGGTCCATTTGGAAGGAAGTAGTTCGCGCAAAAAACAAGAACAAGAGGAATCACGAATCGTTTCCAATGTCCTCGTGTGGAAAAAACATGTCGGACCGCGTCTCATGTGTTTCGGTGTCCGAAGGAAAGGACCCCTGCCAATTGGGTTTCGGGCACACTATGTGTGACTGCTGTGGCGCATCAATGTTGGGCTCCCCACGCTTTTGTCATGCATTGAAGCATCTTGGCAGAACGCCATCTTGAAGGCTTTGGGCGCCAACTCGATCCCATGAGTCCGTACTGGCCGTACAGGTCAGCATCATTTGCAATGCGTTGCTGTCAAGAGAGGATTGGCGGTCTACGGTTGGTTGGGGAGGATGAGGAGGGACCACAACCCAAATTCGCCTCGAAACCTTCAATTTCCAGATGCCCTTCTGTGGAGAGGCTATGTATTTTGTCCTGGATCACCCGATTGCTGCTCAAGGGACTTGCCTGAGACGTGTTTATTTTGCTCTTTCGCTCCACGAAATGGCAGCATGCGTATTCAAAACTTCGGATTTGCGCCTTCCCCCCCCCCAACAAAAGAAGTGATTGTCCTTGTGGTTTCCCTGTAAACTATGAGCAAGGCACAGACCCACTTGGCTCCAAAGCTGATTGCGTGCTGCACGTTTGCTGTCTGGCAGCTGATTTAGCCCTAGTTTCTGCCTGCCAGACTGCCTTTTTTTTGGTCCCGGAAGCCGAGTGTTGGCTCTTCATTCCTGTTCCACACGCCACCCAAGTATTTTCAGAACTGACAACTGACACCTTCCTTGCGGCATTCCATGTCTGCTCTCAGGCAGCCTCTCTGCGCGAGTGTGGCTTGGCCAAAGAAGGGCTTGGCTGGAAAGTGGCAAAGGGGTTTGGCTTCTTTTGCATGGCAACCCACAAGGCACCACCTTGGGACTGTTTCATAGAAGAAATGGTGCGAAGTGACCCCTGCAAGGGGCCAGCCCAAATCAAAGGTCACCGAGCCCCTTTGCCTCTGGCGCGTGTGAGAAGGTGATCTGGGCTCGAAAACCTCAGCCTTTCAGCCTGTTGGGTGATGCTTGAACGGGAACAATTGAAAGCGCTGTGAAACTTGAACGAGAAGCAGCAAAAGGCATTCTCCGACGCTTTGGCTCCTTGCATGCAACATGTGTCACATCTTTCAGAGCTAGCTGGTCGATTTTTGTTGGAGCTTGATTGAAAAGTGATGATGGCTGAAAGGTGAAAACCTTGGGCTGAATATCAGTGTGAGTCGTGTGTATTACTCATTTGGCTCGTGAGCCAAATTCACACCTAGGTTGTTTCGGCAGCGAGCACCCCTGCTAATCGACTGCTTGGCAGAGTTGTTCTGCAAGGGGTGCTCCAAGCAGCTGATGAATACGAGAAGCGGAGTTTGAAGCGTCCCTTGGCGCCTCCAACTACCAATCTTGGTTCATGCCAACCCTTTAGGCAGCGACCCTGCTTAATTCATTATTGTTGGTTTGAGTAGACTCTTCAATCGCAGGGTTTGTTTTTTGGTGTCTTAGACGACTTCATACCATTCCAGCGTGAGTGCCCTTGGAACGAGTGTTGGAGCATGGCGAAAGTCTCCAACTGTCACAGACTTTGGCAGGGTGGTTTCCACCACTCAAAAGCCACCAACGCCAGGTGAACGCATAAATCTATGTATATATATATATACATAACCTATACCAGTCGTCGTTTTAAACTCCCTGTGTGGAATACCCTTTTGCATGTGTACACACCCTCTGAAATGGGGCCCAACTCGATTCCCACAAAAAGAGGGGAAAAGGCAACGCCCGGCATTGTCTTCTGAACTGTCTTGGTAGAACTAAAGGACGATGGGCTTTGGGACCTGTGGCTGGAATTTGGTGACAAACCCGACACGTAACACTGGGTCCATTGTAGTAGTACATCCTCAAGTTTTCCTGAGCTGAATGGCGCTTTGCGCCAGCAGCAAAAAGCAAAAGAGGCAGACTGTATCATATTCAAACAAAGCCAGTTGACAGAAACAACGGGTTGAGAGCCAGCCAGCCACGAAGCTCAATAAACAGCACCCCGCCGAAAGAAACACAACCAGCTCATAGAAAGGGGGGGGCAACGAACAAAGGAACCAACACCAACCCCCCCAACTCCCTTCCGCTGCCCGAAGTCGGCATTCAGCGCCTCAGCCCCGAGGCCGCCCATTTCCGAAGGAAAGCCCGGTTTGGGGCTTGGAGTCGGGGTGAGGGGCAAAGCAAAGGGGAGCAACGGATCCAATTTGTTGGAGTCCAGGGCAGACTTAAACGCAGGGGCCGTTGATTTCACAAAAAGTTGGAAACCGATTTCTGGGTTTCAGTCTAGTTTGGAGTAGTAAACAAATAGAACTCTGAAGGGAGGGAGTGGCCCTCTTTGGGACACTGGACACGGGCAACATTTTCAAAACGTCACCGGAGATGGAAGAAAATCGATTTGGATGCAGGGATAAAGCGCCGAAATGCCACTGTTGCAGGAATTTGTCCATCCACACTATGTTCAATCAA